TTAAACTGGTCAAAACTTTTAATTGCAATTTTAACCATATAAAGAAGAAAAGAAGAAAAGGAAAAGGAAAAAAGGAAGGATGGAGAGCGTTCGATTTGCATATTTATTCGACTTTCGCACTCGTTACGCTAATTTCTAGCATACCTCGGCAAGCGAGCGTAGTCGCGCGGACAAAGTGCAAGGTGTTGTATTACCGGTGATTTAATTATACTGCAAGAGTTGCGCGCGCTGTTTGATAATGAACGGAAGTTGCACGGTTCTTAAGCAGCAGGCGGTCATGGTATTTCGTTGGCAAGATGGCGGCGTTAATCCGTGGACATCGCTGGACACGTCCGCGGATTTAAACGAATTAAACCGCCACTAGCCGGCTAATGCTCGAGGTATTAATTAGTATTGGCTCGCGTCTGAGATTGCGTCTTACCCCGGGAGAATCAATATTTCCTTAGAACACGATTAACGTTTGATTATCGTTTATCGGCTCAGTGACAGTGCCACTGCTTGTTATAGCGAAAGCAACTAATATCGCATGAATTTCGGCTAGATGTATGGCTCCATAGTGCTTTGTGCCTACGTAATGTGGATCTTGCCTGTTGCTTCTCCAACGCTGCAACTCTCGATTGTAGTTTCGCGGGGTTGTAGGGCCCGCTACCCTCGCGCGACAGGGTAGAGGATGCAGTCTAATCGAGCTTAAGCGATTCAGACCAGGTTGGGCTTTTTAAATCATTGCGAATTCACGCGTATCGATTGTAATACCGTTCACTGAGCTTAACAAAATGTCACGAAGCGAATCCAAGCAATGGATTGAGCTTTGTCTGCTCAGCACAAGAGTTTGCGTACGAATCTATGCAGAAATCAGTCAAGGTGTGTGAGTGTTTATATGAGTTTGGGTGTGCTATGATCGGTTGCTGCAAGGTGTGAATAGTATGTGCGAGTTTTCCTATTGGTCGTGTATGGTTGTTCAAGGTGTGTACTGGTTCCAGCGTTATTCGGAGGTAGTAGAAATTCAGAAAAATTTGGACCGCTGTCACCGTCATCGAGCGACGTTTATGCTCCTCTGCTAGGGACTGACACGCGTAATTTCCAGGTGTAGTAACGAACAAATAAAACAAATAAATTTTCATCTCGACATGGAATGGACAGTCTTGGGACCGAGCACGTGCCAATGAGTCGTCATTCAGGATACTGGTATCAGAGTGACCAATTCAGCTGACAAAGAGGGAATGAGAGACTTAGAAATTTTGGATAGCACTGTACTGGAATTTAATTTCACTGCTCGCTGTTTTATAGTACACAGGGTGATAAAAGAAGAGGTCCAATAGTTAAGGAGGTTATAGTGCTCAATGGGAGTTGTAAAAAATACGTAATCAACAGACTTTTGTATTTACGAGGGTGCTACGTCGGAAGTGAGCTTGGATTGAGATGAATCGGTTTGGATATCTTTTTATGGGGCTACTTAGGGACTTTATGGGCCAGTTATCAGCGAGAGCGAGATTGAATGCGAATTCATTCTTCGATATGGTTTTCATCCAATTCTTTCATTCCAATTTTCGCGTAATTATATGGGAATACTATCATTGAGGAGCCTGTGTTTAAACAGGTATTGACTCCTTTAACAAACAGAGGAATTTAAATAATCGTATTTTAAGAATTTGCAGAATATTACGAATAATATAAAATCGGATAGCATTTGAAAATGCAAGGTGCAATTACTGACAACGTTGTAATTCGCGGGTTGAAAATATTAAGAGTCGGTAACCGCACACTGGTATCAATAGAAGCATGAAAATTTGCGCGAATAAAGTTCACTGTTCAGACAACAGTGAGATAACGAAAGTACGATATGTCGCAATAAAGACGATTTCATATGGCTCCGTTAGTCATGTTTGGTCTATTCGAATTTGCCCAGGTTTACGACACGATCCCACGTCGTCGTATTTTTGCCACGGTATAGCTCTCTTTATTCCAGATCCGAATCAAATTAATTTATATTTACGTATTTGCTATATCTACTTCGACTTCGATATTTATTAAACGTCACGGAACAACGGAACGGTTAATTCTCCCTTCTCATTTCGTCTTTATTTATCGATCATAAAGCATAAAATACAACCGTGTTCGTAAAGAAATTGTTACAAAAGCCTGATGAATTATTCCGGAAAAATTTACGGTTATAGAAAAAGTCGATGGGAGAGAAGATTCTTTATACGCGCCAGAATTTTCGTGTTTTCGCTGGACAGGTGCATTTCCAGACCCTTACCCTTTCGTCCTGGTATCAATGACGATCGACGTGTCATAAATTCGCAATGTGGTATCTGTAGCAAATGACCATGCCAGAATTGCAATTTTTTCCTCCAGTCTCTGACGATCTTCCGCATGGTAAACCTCCAGATAGCTTATGATACGAATCGAATATATTTACATCGCTGGTACACGAGTTATACGATTTTATACTAACGGTTCTCTTCGGAATATGGGTGAAAAGAAATAACTATAGGAGGATACCATTTTGGGAAAGAAATCGCAAATCTTTTGTTCTCACTTTCTGACAGTCCACCGTCTGCACCACGTGTAAGATATGCGGTCAATACGCGATCGATACGGGGACCGTGTTAACCCCTTGACCACTGTGGGCGCCTATGGGCGCTTACGAATTTTGCGTTTGTGACACGGAGGGCGTCTAAGGGCGCTCAGAAATTTTGAATTTGTGACACGAAGGGCGCCTATAGGTGCTTAGAAATGTTGCGTTTGTGACACGGAGGGTGCCTATGGGCGCTTAGGAATTTTGCGTTTGTGATACAGAGGGCATCTTAGGGAGCTCAGAAATTTTGAATTTGTGACACGAAGGGCGCCTATAGGCGCTTAAAAATGTTGCGTTTGTGACACGAAGGGTGCCTATGGGCGCTTAGCAATTTTGCGTTTGTGATACAGAGGGCATCTTAGGGCGCTTAGAAATTTTGAATTTGTGACACGAAGGGCGCCTATAGATGTTTAGAAATTTTGCGTTTGTGACACGGAGGGTGCCTATGGGCGCTTAGAAATTTTTCGTTTGTGACATGGAGGGCGCCTATGGGCGCTTAGGAATTTTGCGTTTGTGATACAGAGGGCATCTTAGGGCGCTTAGAAATTTTGAATTTGTGACACGAAGGGCGCCTATAGGTGCTTAGAAATGTTGCGTTTGTGACACGGAGGGTGCCTATGGGCGCTTAGCAATTTTGCGTTTGTGATACAAAGGGCATCTTAGGGCGCTTAGAAATTTTGAATTTGTGACACGAAGGGCGCCTATAGGTGCTTAGAAATGTTGCGTTTGTAACTACTGTGGGCGCCTATGGGCGCTTAGGAATTTTGCGTTTGTGACACGGAGGGCATCTTAGGGCGCTTAGAAATTTTGAATTTGTGACACGAAGGGCGCCTATAGATGTTTAGAAATGTTGCGTTTGTGACACGGAGGGTGCCTATGGGCGCTTAGAAATTTTTCGTTTGTGACACGAAGGTCGCCTATAGGCGCTCAACGTAGCTTGGCTTTCTGACACGGAGGGCGCTTGTTTTCACAAAAATGGCTCACATCGTAACTCAATTCCTACCGTATGGTACGGCCCTTGCGTATCAAAGTCTGCCGTAGTCAAGGGGTTAAATAACAATACAGTCCTGCGCGTGTGCAGAAGGGCGATCGTCGTATGTTGGTGTATGGCGTGAGATCTATTGCTATTGGTGTGTACCCGCCACGTGTATACTATGAATATTCGTGACTACATTGTATTTTAGGTCCCCACATGTATTTAGTTTACTTATACTTTCTATTTACAAAAACACAATTTATTAACCATTTGTACTCGAGAGGTGGGCTTCAGTCACCGTTTCATAAAATTTGGAAGATCGATATTAATTAATATATCAAATTTAACGTAACGTAACGTAACAGTGTGCGAGGTATCGAAATCAAATAATTCTACAATTCTGTTATTATATAATTCTTTATTTACTACTCACAAAAGAATAGTCAGTTTTTTTTAGTAGAGAATCTTTGAATTTCTACTCTTCTCCAGCCAAGAAATAGCAATTCGAAGACTTTCTGGCATAAAGTCGAGGATAGGAATAGAAATCGTATAGAAATTAAAATGTAGATTTATTTTTCTTCGATATTCCATGCGTCGTATCGTAATTTTAAATTCGATATATTAATTAACATCGACCTTTACAATCCGATTACATGGCGACTGAGGGTCGCCTCTCGAGTGCAAAGGGTTAATCAATTCCAAAACCACGCATCATAAAAGACTTCGAGCCTCCGTTTACTTTATACCACCAAGAAAAATAAAATATAATCAGAGTCAAAAGTCCCTTTTGATTTATTGATCACATGATTGGATGCTAGAAAATTTCGTTTCCTCGTATTCAATTTTTAATCGTATTTTAACGGATTATTCTTCAATCGGACACCATTATTCGTGGCTTCGATAAATAATATCAAATTTCACGGATTAAATACAACAAACATATAATCCACGGGAAAAATGAAAAGAAAAATACAGGAAATAAATGTTACACGGTTAAAACCTTTTACAGGAGGAGCGAATTTCTGTCAAGCCAGGTTCCATTATGTCATCAACTTTCTACAAAAACACAGGTTCTCGCGTTTCTATAGAAATATCGTCCCATTTACGCGAATATCCGGGGACTACTGGCGAGTAGTGAGAGAATATAAAACCGCATCCCTTTGATCTGCGCGTCCTTCGACTCTTTACTTGCACGAGACAGAGACGATGACCATAGCTCGGATACTCGGAATGATCGAACTTGGCTTGCCGTGAAATCGGAAGAATAAGGATTTCGCGGAGAAATATAAAGAGGCTGGCTTAGTCTGCGCTTGACCCGCTTACGTTAACTCGTCCCATTCAACGGCGAGTTTCTCGAGTACTTTGTAAACTTTAGCGCGCCCCTAGGTGGGTTATAAGTATAAGTAGCAGTAAGTAAGTAAGCGTGTATACCACGGTTATGTAAAGCGTTCACCGTGACGGGATACTTAAGACGAGGACCTTTCGTGTTGCAGATTTACCCAGGTTTGGCAAACCGCTGAGCAACCTGACAGTCTCGGTGGGTCGCGAAGCCATTTTCACCTGCACCGTGGAAAATCTTGGCGTGTACAAGGTGAGACGACGCGTTCTCGCGGAATCCCTATTTTCGCGCGCCACCGTCACCGTTTTGCAATTACTCCGGCTGCATTATGCGTGTACACTGCCTCGAACGAGCAGAGAATATTTCGCATAGCGTCTTTCGTGCAGCTAGGCTCTGTCTCGAGTTGATACGCGATGCATGGAATGGGCGTAAAAGAGAAATAGAAAGATTCTCCGAGGCGTCCTATTCTTTCTTTTCACGTATTCATTGTCCTCGAGGACGTTTAAGAGGCAAAGAGTGAGATTGATATTCGTTTTATCGAAGTAAAATGGAAATCGCGAGAGTGCGGATAGCTGGCGATTATGTCGATTAGAGAGCTCGGAAAAAATGATACGAGCGAACATTTTTCAAAAACGACCGAGTATAAAACGCGATACTTTTTAAGGGAGAATTTTATTTGGAATTTAGGGCTAGTCACGAGACTCGATGATCTAGTGTCATTTGTTACCTATAGATACCTATAGATACTAATGTAGGATGGCGAAATTGGTCTTGAGACACCGAAAATTCACGAAAGAACAAGAACACGATAACGCAAACTCAAAACTCGTAAACTGATTTAACTTAGGGAAAAGACGCACTCTTTTAAAACTCTCTTTCCAACACCAAGCGACTCACGCTTGTACTGGTCACAACCGATTTCCAAGGATTCTGTTTTGGTTATCAAGGACCACGCTTTTATGCTTTCCTTAACCTACGCTTCACCTCCCCGTAGAGGAGTCGCGTAACTTAATTTTGTTATATAGAATAACTTTTCGATTTGCTTCTAGAAGATATCGATCGGTTTATAATTTGTTTTCGTTGGCAATAGCCGATTCGCGATTTCTTTTGGTATCCTACACTAATTTATTATTCACATACGCGATATTAATTGAATTGACGTGACAATGGATAAATAAAAATAGATATTGTGCCAAAAGCAGCTGTGGAATTTCAATAATTACAAAAAGCATCATAGTTCCGTATTAAAATTAGGACTAGTCACGTGACTCGATGATCTAGCGCCATTTCAGCAGGTTACCGATGGATACCTATAGATACTAATTTATAATTTACATACTCGATATTAATTGAAGCGACATGACAACAATGGGCAGATAAAAATAGATATTAATTGTGCCAAAACCAGCTGTGGAATTTCAATAATTACGAAAAGCACGATAGTTCTGTATTAAAATTAGGAGCAGTCACGTGGCTCGATGATCTAGCGTCATTTCAGCAAGTTACCTATAAATACCTATAGATATTAATTTATAATTCACATACATGATGTTAATCGAAGTGACGTGACAATGAGGGATAGATACAAATAGATGCTTGTGCCAAAAGCAGCTGTGGAATTTCAATAATCACGAAGAGCACCATAGTTCTATATTAACCCTTTGCACTCGACTCTCAGTCGCCACTTAATCAGATTCTAAAGATCGGTGTTAATTAATATATTAAACTTAAAATTAGCCAGCGATGCATGGAATGTCGAAATAAAATAATTCTACGTATTAATTTGCATACGATTTCTTATTTACCGTTTTAAAAATATCGTCGACTTTATGACAGATAGTCTTTAAATTACTATTTTTCTGTAACGAAAAAATCTTCGAGTGCAAAGGATTAAAATGAATTTATTTCACAATTGCAGTTCTTGAAAACGAATATTTAAGTATACATGACAAGTCGGTAGCCCTAGTACTAAAATTCTGTTCTACTCTCTGCTCTTGTCACTCATGCCACTTTCCTTTGAACCTCTCGTTCTTTGTTCAAATTAATCCCTATTAAATAACATTCTAATTCAAAGAACTTCATTGGACAACCTTGATTTCATTTTCACTCTCTATACAAATTATTTTCATAGCACAAAATCCATAGGAAAATTCCTTTCGAAACCTAATCAAACGAATGTGACAGTGCATTAACAGTCTCAGTTAGGACAAAATGGGAAGAAAACACCGGGAAGCTTTAATAATGCTTCCAAAACTGTTCCAAGAAGTTCGTGACTCCAACTTACCGATCTCGCCTCAATTTCTCAGCGGACAAACACTGAGCAAATACGCGGTGAGACAAAAAGAGACCGGGATTTCGATACCTTTACCCGGTGCGCACTGCAACCTTGAACCGCGCACAGTTCCATCAGCTGTAGAAAGAAATTTTAGGAGACCAGTGGAGAAAAGGAGAGAAGGAACAGGGAGATGGAAACGCGAGAAGAGCTAGTGGTAAAGATAGAGAGAATCTAACAAACGGTACAAATAAATTCGGAGCTGGAGATCCGGTAAGAATCCGTATCCAATGCGTATCTCGGCAACTCCATTTAAGTAGAAATAAAATCCCACGGGGTGTGAGTTCAGCAGTTTGTTAAGTGGTTCTTGCCCAACCCTGCACCCCGCCAACCCCATTCACCGTCGACACTTTTATCCGTCTCTATTCCTTTTTATTTCCCTCTGTTCCCTCTCTCTTCCACCCTCTCTCACACTCTCTCCCTGTCTATCCGTCTTTCTTTCCCTCTCTCCCCATGTTCCTGCACCAAGCACGGCCAAGCGTTTGCTCCCTTCGCGAGGCGTCCCATTCGATTCGCCTAACCCTCTTAGTCGACCCTACCTCACGCCGACCGCAAGGATACGAGTTATAGTTTTCCCGATAGGGGCATCCCCGTGACCGGAGCCGTGTTTTGCCAATAAAAATGCGTAGGAATTGTTTTATGGTCCTACACGTGCGGCCAAGTACAGGTTGGAACGGAATCGATGCATTATCTTTACGCTACTGGCCAACGACGTCTCTCCGGAAATGAAAATGCCAAGGCATATTCGTTGCCGTTTCAGAAATAAAGCAGCGAGAGAGGTAAAAGACAGACACGGGTGGAAATCGACACCGGGTTAAGAACGTGGCTGGAAAAGTAGAAAAATCCCGAGAAATAGAGACGAATGTCATTTCACGAGTACAAAAATACGCATTGGACATAATCAAGTTATAGACTAACGGAGAAAGATATTGCATAAAATTAACGTATTTTTAGACACCGTGCATGCATTAAACTTTTCGACCAACGAAATGTCACGACGTCATTAATGTCGGAATTTAACGTCGCGTGGCGATCAAAGTGACAGCTGACGTTCTGTATTTCCAAAATTAAGTGCTCGGCGGGAAACTTTTCAGGCACTAATGTTTCATCGCGATCTTTCACTGGCGGGAAAATTTAACCTGAAATACGAAATGTCAAAGACGGGAGATATCGCAGATGGTCCAAGTCGTTCCAACGCGAAGTTACGGGCTGTCTATGAAGCCTGCTATTCCGAGACTCGGCTAGGCAGTCGTATCTCTACGGGCCGTCGATACAAATTCTATTAGCCCTTCGACGAAGTAATTAGCGAAGTTAAAATCGCCGCGAAAGGAAGCTGCGAGTGCATTTCCTCGTTGCTAACGAATCACGTGAAACTAACGCGTTCGACGGGCGAATTTACGTCGTTACACAGCTGAGCCGCTCCCAAGTTAATCTCCCGCTTTTAGATGATAATTGCCGCACTCGCAAACGAGAAGCCGAGTTTAAGATGACTTTATTGGCTGTTCGACGCGGCCGTGTCACTGCTAATTCCTTTGGAAATGACGAGATTATGTTGCCGCTTCGTCTACGGCAATTTCTAAAGTAATCAAAAGCCGAGGTACTTGGCCTGATATATTATTTGCAGTAGGCTTGTGAGCGCCTTACCCATCTTATCCATCATGGATCGAGAACGAAATTTTCCCTATCGGCGGATAATTTTCAAGCTGAAATTTTGTTTCAGTCAGGTATCTGCATAATGCAGGCACCCTGGGTCTAGGGGCAAGTTAGGGGGTGTGCTAAGTTCCAGTGTAAACTTTCGCTATCAAGAGGCTGTCAAGGGATTACAAAATTTTTAATGCGAACATAAATTGACAGATATTTCGTGCCTTTGAATACTATGATTGACACTTCAACGATGACCATCGCGAAATTATTATTGCTGTTGCTTCGATGCATACTGCTTGAGAAAAGATATTACTTTAAATTTTAATATTGAAGTATAAGTAGTAATAATAGTAATAATAGTATAGTAATAATAGCAAAAATAATTTCGCGGTAGCCATCATCGAAGTGCCAATTATAGAATTCAAAGACGAAATATCTGCCAATTTATGCACGCATTAAAAATTTAATTTCATAATATAATTATCAAACGACGAATTGATATATTGACACGAGCTTCATATAAATATACAGCTATACGAGTCCACATTTTTTATTGACACAACGTATGCAGAGTGCAGAATTTGTAGGTACCTCATACGTATACCGTTGAGGTGAAATGGCAAATATCGATAAGAGAGAAATATATTTTAAAAATGGCCGCTGCGATACGAAATTTAAATTGAGATTTGTGATCAGAGTATACAAGGATATGAAGAAGAATTTTGTCGATAGTAACATCGTCTATGGAAGGATATTCGATTCTTGGTGTAATACAATATATTTTACGGATCATGTCACCACGAGAAACAAATGGAGACCGTGGAATAGTATATTTTCATTCAGCATTCTTCTAAAGAATGATTGATAACATGCTGAATACAGTTGCTCTTGGAACAACATTTTAATGCACAATTTACTATACATTAATTTTTAATATTATTGAATCTCAACATTTATCACTGTGCTTGGGAAATGTATGTACATAGTTATATATAATGATTTATTTTACCCCATAGGTATTTATATTTTTAATACTACGCTAATTTCGAAATCATTTTTTAATTTTATAATTGAAGATAGTGAAAGAAGATATAATATTGTTTGAAGATCACACAAATATCATTTTAATCAAAATGAGTCATTCGCAGGCCTTTTATGTTATCAAAATTTTTCTAAATAAATAAACATTCTATGAGTTTGTAACATAAAATTCAAGAAATTTATACAACTTCGATAATCTTGAATATTCCACGATTATTTTATTCGCGTCTACTAA